TTTGAGGCAATTGTCAACATGAAAGAACATTTGAGCTGGGTGCTGGGGGCCGTTGGAGCCAACGGGAGGCAGTCTGCTGTGATGAAATCCAGCACCTAGGGGCCCGCGTACCCAGGACCCGTTTGGCTCATTTTGGGAACACGGCCTGAACCCTGCTTCTCCAGTCTCTCAAAGTCTCTGTCTCTCGGCAGGCTTCCTCTCCCTCCCACGTGGCCCTCCTTTCCCAGGGGCTCCAGTAGGCAGAAAGCGCCAGGAGACGGGTCCTGTTTCCGCATTTCAGAGGTCACAGCAGAGAGAGACCGTGGTGGAGTGACTGTGACGCCACGGCTCCCGGTGGGAGAAAGTCCGTGAAGGAGACGCGTCTGACAGACTGCCGCAGGGCCAGCCAGCGGGCACCGGGAGAATCCGGGCCCCCTGTGTACGGCCAGGGACGGAAGCTGGCTGGGAACCGAGCTCGCATGTGGCTCCTTGAGAGAGGCACGGTGTACCCGACGGCCCCGTGCCATGCTTAGCCTCTAGGGACATGCTTCCCCTTGTCCCGAGCCTCGGACGCTTGTAGAAAAGAGAGAAGCTAAGGGCCTGTACCCCTCCCCTCCCCCACATTTGGCCAGGGCTCCCTCTCCAGACCAGCTCAGAGTCACCTTTGTGACATCACAGGACCAATAAAGGGGGCGATGACTCAGGCACCCGGTTGCCCGACTACGAGACTCCAGAATGTTGGGAACAGTATATATGAGGCAGCCCTGTACCGGCCGAAGGCATTTCTGACTCGAGAGTCTAGTGAGACGGTCTCGGGGTGAAAATGCTCCTGATCTAGACTTAGCACCATGGCTAGTCAGAGTACCGACGAGATATGCCCGGTCAAGCTGGCTCCGCCTGGTGACGGGGAGTCAGCGCCCGCGGTCCCATCGACTTCCTCCCTGGGCCCAAATTTGGATTCCAGGGAGATTTTCGAGAAGCAGGAGGACCCAGCTGTGAGCCGAGATCCAGATCCCCAAGACAACACACAGCCAGAGGCCCCAAACCTGGGTGCCGCCAATGTGGGTCAAAACATTCTCGGGCTTTCCTTTCCGAGAAAGCTCTGGAGCACCGTGGAGGACAACGCCTTCACGTCCGTGCGCTGGGATGACGACGGCGACACCGTGATCATCGATGAAGACCTTTTCCAGAGGGAGGTTCTTCACCGGAGGGGCCCAGAGAGAATCTTCGAAACTGACAGCTTGAAGGGGTTCATCCGCCTAATAAACCTGTACGGGTTCAGCAAAATACGCCCAGACAGCCCTTCGGTTCGCGCCCCGGGGAACGAGAGGATGATGGTAAAGTAGAAAGTCGTCGCGTCCCCCCCGGTTTCTGTCCTTCCAACAGCTTCCTAGTAGAGCCAGACGAAGGGTCTCCCGAAAGGGTTTAATTTCTTAGTCATAATTTATTAACGTATTTCTCTATGCCTAAACAGAAGCCAGGGAACGTCAGATAGGTGTGTGAACACCTTAACCGATGCAGGCCGTGTCGTTGCTGAGCTCAGGCTCTAGGGCGTAAGGAACCTCGCGGGCAGCCTCAGAGGACCTCTCCTCCATAGTAGAGCTAGACCATTATCTAGGCCATTAGGACCACCGGGGGGGGG